TTTCAATGTATAATATTATAATTAGTTAGGTGTAATAATTTTGGATTATAGTTAGTTAGGCTGTAATAATTTGGGTTTTTTTAGTGGATTAGGGTTTTTCGCCAAAACAAGATTTTAATGGTCATTCTTTCATTGATTTAGTCTACTCTTTATTTTCGTCCATGTATAATTATATATTTTATCCATGATAATTCTATGATTTTTCTTTTATGTGATGCAAATTTAATACTTAAGTTTATACAGGGAAAGAGCATCTCAATATTCACAAATTGATGAAAAAAATGAAAGTTAATAATGTAGTACCCTCATTTCTTATTAGATTCCTAAAAAACAACATTTATAATGAATTTTAACAATTCTTTCGAATGTTTTTGAAGCTTTAATCCGACCGATTCAACCGATTCCCAATCCGAATCAGTTTTTGAGGTGCCATTTCCGGGTCACCGATCCGCTTTTTAAACCATTGGTTTACATTTTATAATTATTTTTTTAGATAAATAATAACAAATTAAAAATATTTTATAATATTATCTAATTTAAAATGTATTATTGACAACTGTAAGAAAAATAGTACATTACATGATTTATAATTTAAAATTTAATAAATAAAATAAAAGATTTGATTATCAATGTAAAAATTAATAAAATGCGTACAAATTTCGAAAATAACACTTTAATTTATTATATGCCCAAGGGGGAACAAAAATTAGCTCAAGAAGGGATAAACTATTATATTGCCCAAGGGGAATTTGAACTTGAGAAGTCAAAACACATAACATTAGTGATAACCATCATGCCTCCTTAGCATATGTGTTTAAAATTGCCTATTAATGCCATATATTTACATTCTGTTTTCATTTAATGATGTTTGGGAATTATCCCACGTCGAAAGATGAGTATTCAAATATGCTATATAAATAACTATGGAATTGGAAGATAAACACAAGTATGAAAATACTAGGGCATCTGTGCACATGCACGCGTGCATGTGCGTGTCGCACGTGTGGCACATGTGGTAGTGGTGTGTGTCGCACGTGTGACGCGTACACACCTGTAAAGGTGTTTTTGAGGCCTGAACCGGCTAGAACCGGTGCACACGTGCACTCATGCATGTGCGTGTCGCACGTAGGGCACGTGTGGGAGTGTGTACCGTTAATGTCACACGTACACACGTGTGGGAGTGGTGCGTGCACGCGTGCATGTGCATGTCGCACGTATGGCACGTGTGGGAGTGTGTGTGGAAATGTTACCGCTCGTGTCACATGTACACACGTGTGGGAGTGGGAGTGTGAGTCGTGCGTATCGTACGCGTAACGCGTACACACGTGTGAAGGTGCTTTTGAGGCTAGAACCGGGAGGGAAACGACTAAAACCGGGAGGGAACCGCTAGAATCGAGAGGGAACTCGATAGAATCGGGTGGGAATCGGCGATTTTGCTCTAAAACCGGGTGATTCTCGATTTTGTGTTGGAACCGACACGGGCTATGCCGATTCCCGAGTCGAACCGAGCGAGTCCGGTTCGACTTGCCGATTTTTAAATCATTGCTCAAAACACAATATTCAAAAGTAAATAAGCAATGAGAAAATTAAAAAATCATTTGGCATGTCGATTAGAAGTAGTCACCAGCCCAAATAAGCAATGCCTTGTATTTGGATCAAACCCAGGCAGATTCCTTTGAAGGCGAATGTATGACATGATTTTGTGCTCTCCTTCACCAGGCACGTTGGCATCGGAAAGAATTACCTTTAAAAAGTGGCAAACACTCAAATCATGAGTAATCCATTGTCTCTCTCCATCCCTCTCTACACCCACTGTCACTTACATGAGAGGCTGAGTTTCTAAAATGTGGATGACTAGCAACCCTTTTTTTTACACTTCTTTGTTTGTACCAAACATTTTTTTTATAGGAGCACCGGACTTGGAGGTTGGATTACACTCACTTCCCGTCAGTACTTTTTGTACCTATCTATACTTATTAATAGATTGTCCCTAATTTCAAACAAAAAAAGAACACCCAAATAATAAGTAATCCACCTGAATGCATGGGGTACCCAAAGATTGATTACTGAATGAGGATTGCAGAGGAAGATTAAAAGAATATAAAAACATAAGTAACCTTAATCTTTCTCCACCCAGGATCTGAATTCAATCTGAGATGTATGTAATACTCGAGACCTGCCGACAATGCTGCCATGAATTCTGTCCCAGGAGTAATTACATTGGAATCAAGCACCTTTGATTGATTAGAATGTGCCAATAGATCTCTCACTTCTGATTCAAATCTTTGCCTTAACCTTTCTTCCTCGGCTAACTGAGAAGACATTGAAAACAAATATCATGTATTCCCTCCCAAAATAGTTAAAAAAACCTTAGGAATCTATACAGCAGAGCAAAAACTAACCATCTCAGCCTCCTTGGCAGCCCTGAATCGACGTGCACGTTGTTGGTTCATCTTTGCCCGTGGGGCAACCCCGTCTAATTCATACAAACATTTTTTTTAATTGAGTATAACATCAGTAAATAAAGCAGGTGTCGATACAATTACTTGGCCCGGACTTGCTATCAGGGCAGGTATTGCAAACTCTAATTCATGCCAATCTGCTTGATTT